GGGAATTTTGCTGTGGTTCTGAGTCCCTCCCTAAGGTAGATCAATTACCTCCTTCACCAAGGAGCAGAGAACAGTCACCACAACCCAATGAATAGCCCAATGAGTCTAGTTATATGGAATATACGTGGAGCTAACAATGATGAATTCAAAAGGAATTTTAGGGAGCTGTTGCATACTCACAACCCAGGCACGGTTGCCCTTCTAGAAAAAAAATGGTTGATCATGCACCTCTTAGGGATGAGTTCCACTTCTCTGACATGTTAGAAGTCCCAGCAGTAGGCCATGCGGGTGGTATTGTGGTTTTATGGTATGGAAACTTAGTCACTCTGAATCTTGTTAGCCGATCCCACCACGAAATGCATGCCATGCTACAGGTATCTCCCGTCCAACTCCCATGTCTTGTTAGTGTTCTCTATGCTAGTGCATGTCTAAATATGCAAAACGATCTTTGGAATAGCCTTTGTAATATAGATGACAACTACCACGGACCGCGATTAGTTGGAGGGGATTTTAATGAAATCCTATCCCAAAATGAAAAGTGGGGTGGTCGACCTCTTAACTCTAATAGGGCTTCACAGTTTTGGTCTTGCATAAAATACTGTAATTTATTAGATCTCGATTTTAAAAGCGCTAAATACACTTGGACCAATTGTCGTATTAATTCGGGAGGTCTTATCTTAGAACGGTTAGATAGACACCTCGCTAACACCTTATGGATCAACCAATACCCTAATGCTCTCATCACCCACCTCCCGAGAACCCACTCAGACCATGCCCCAACTCTTCTCCAATTTAAAGGAAAAGAGCCTCCCCACAAGAAAAAATTATTTAGGCTCGAAACTTACTGGTGTTACCATATGGAGTTTGAAAATATTGTTAAAGACTCGTGGCAAAATAGATATCTCCTTGAAGCCACGGAATTTTTCAACATAATGTTGTTCTTTGGGCAAAATAAACTTTAGGGTCTCTAATAAAAAGAAAAAAAGAATCCCCGCAAGACTGAAAGGAATCCAATCATCCACAAATTACCCGTATAGTCATTTCTTGCACCTCCTCGAAAAGGATCTAATAACTGAATACAATATCATTCTTAAAATTGAGGAAGACTATTGGAAAATCTGTTCCCGTTTAAACTGGCTCAACGATGGGGACGCCAATATAAAATTCTTCCATCGAAGTGTCATCAACCGTAGAAGGAAAAATACTATCTCCCATTTTAAAGATAATGAACGTAACTGGATCCATGATCCAACCCACATTCTAGTCCATACATCCCAATATTTCCAAAAGGCCTTCCAAACAGAACACATAGATACTCCTATAAAAACTATTCAAAACTCACAAACGTCCTTTGACAACTTAGATCTCTCCTCATTAGATTGCCCATTACGGGACTATGAAGGCACTTGAGAAATTTTTTGCTTCAAACATTTTAAGGCCCCAGGACCGGATGGCATTCACCCTTTTTTATCAAAAATATTGGCATATCGTTAAGAATCCGGTTCTATCCTTTTGTCAAAAAAAAATTTAAAGACCTTTCTATTCCAACAACACTCAATTCTACATATATTTGTCTCATCCCTAAGTTTCACAACGCAAATAACCTAAACAACTTCCGACCCATCGGTCTCGGTAACATCATCTATAAGGTAGTCACTAAGATTATGGTGAATAGAATCAAGTCGTTCCTCGACAAATTAATTGGCCCATGTCAATCCAGCTTCCTTAAGGGCATAAGAACTTGTGATAACGCCATCATGATTCAAGAAATCATAAACCACTTCCAAAAAATAAGGGGTCGACAAGGAAAGGTCCTCCTTAAAATTGATTTGAAAAAAACTTTTGACCGTCTTGAATGGTCATTCATTTACCGGGCTTTACTCTTCTTTAAATTTCCCCCTCGCATCACTATACTTATAATGAGCTGCATTAGCACTTCCAGAATTGCCATCTTAGTCAATGGCTCCAAAACAGAATTCTTCCATCCCTCAAGAGGTATACGTCAAGGCGACCCAATGTCTCCCTACCTCTTTATCCTATGCATGGAATTATTGTCGAAATACATCAATCACCAAGTCAACATCGGACTCTGGGACCCGATAAAACTCAATTCCACTGGCCCTCCCATCGCTCACCTATTCTATGCTGATGACTTAACTCTCTCTGCCAATGCTAACTAAAAGTCCATCCACACAATCAAACATAGCCTCACATTCTTTTCCAAACTTTCGGGCCAAAAAATCAATAATTCTAAATCAAAAATCATATTTTCACGAAACTGTGATGCTCATACAATGAATCACTTTGTCAATATTCTCAACATCCAACCCAGTGATAACTTTGGAAAATACTTGGGTTTCCCAATTCTCACTCGAAAACCCAAAGCATCTGATGTTCGCTACATTATTGATCACATGAACACAAAACTTGTCGGTTGGAAAACAAACTTCCTTTCCATCGCAGGAAGAACAACCCTCGCTAAATCAACTCTTAACGTCATCCTGAACCATGTACTGCAATATATCATGCTCCCTGCATCCACTTTAAAGCGAATTGACAAAATTCAAAGAGATTTTATCTGGGGCACCACCACTCAAAAACGAAAAATTCACTATATCAAATGATTCACAATCACTCAGCCAAAACATGTTGGGGGTCTGGGTCTCAGGAAAGCAGTAGATAAAAACATGGTATCCCTAGCTAGCCTCTCCTGGCGTCTATTCAACAATCCTAGTTCTCTATGGGCCTCCACTCTTATTTCTATATATAATTATAAAAGAAACCCTATGTCCAATTCATTCATCTGGAATAACGTCGTAACAAGCTGGAAAAGCTGTAATCAAGGCCTACACTGGATAGTCGACCCGGGTAACATTAATTGTTGGACTCTGCATGGATACCGGGGCTCCCACCTTTAAATTCAATCATCCAGGGTCCAATCAATTACAATAACAAAACATTCAAAGTCAAAGACCTCTGGGGAATAAACTTTTGGGATCTCACAAAATTATCCTTTACCTTGCCCACAGAAATAAAAAACAAAATTCTTTCCATAAAACTAGACTCCTTCACCAATGCTAGGGACATACCCACTTGGGCTCACACCTCCAATGGTATCTTTTCCTCCAGCTCTATATACAAGTTAATCTCACCACCACTTCCCAACAATTTTAAATTCCAATGGATCTGGAAACTTAACACGCTCCATAAGATTAAATACTTCATGTGGCAATGTTCCCACAATCGTCTTCCTACTCTAAGCTATTTGCACCAAATCGGACTACACATTAACACCCTTTGTATAGACGGAGGAACATGGTTTGGAGAATTGGTACAGTACATAAATTCTTTGCAGCATATTAGTACTGCTTCAAGCGAAAGCTGTTTGCTCTTTTTTTTGTTGAAAGAGTTATTATTGCGATTTAGCCACAGAGACCATATAGCAAAAGGAAAGAACATATCCCAGGAGATATCCCATTGATCCAAAGTTTTGTGCAGATCTTTTAAGGTATTGAGCCAATGGTCAGGTTCTGCTGAAAGTGAGGAAGGTTGAGTTGAGCGTCACTCCAAAATTTGGTGGCTATGGCGCATTCAAAGAAAATGTGAATAAGTGATTCCTCCGCTGCTTTACATATGATTAAATACTTCATGTGGCAATGTTCCCACAATCGTCTTCCTACTCTAAGCTATTTGCACCAAATCGGACTACACATTAACACCCTTTGTCCCATATGTAAAGCAGCGGAGGAATCGCTTATTCACATTTTCTTTGAATGCGCCATAGCCACCAAATTTTGGAGTGACGCTCAACTCAACCTTCCTCACTTTCAGCAGAACCTGACCATTGGCTCAATACCTTAAAAGATCTGCACAAAACTTTGGATCAATGGGATATCTCCTGGGATATGTTCTTTCCTTTTGCTATATGGTCTCTGTGGCTAAATCGCAATAATAACTCTTTCAACAAAAAAAAGAGCAAACAGCTTTCGCTTGAAGCAGTACTAATATGCTGCAAAGAATTTATGTACTGTACCAATTCTCCAAACCATGTTCCTCCGTCTATTACCATCTCAATTAAATGGCTCCCCCCCCCCAAACCACTCCTTAAAGCTTAACATTGATGGGGCTTTCAAAGGAAAATATAGAAAAGGAGGCATCGGGGGAATATTCAGAAATGGCCGTGGGGATTGGATTTTGGGTTACCACAATTCTACCATAGCCTACACCCCTGCCTACATGGAACTCTTAGCCCTTAAAACCGGTCTTCAATTAGCTTGAGACAAATTTTGTTGATATCGAAATTGAGACCGATGCAACATATGTATATTCTTTGCTTAATAATGATACTTGTTCTATTTACTCTAACTTGGTTATTGAGTGCAGGTCACTACTGAAGAAATTGCAGAATTCGCCGATCCAGTATAGCTTCAGGGAAGGGAACAAGGTTGTGCACTTTTTGGCTACTCAAGGATCCAAGCAAACGAGTAGCTCTACTCTCTATCTTATGGAACAGCCTCCAAACTCTCTTTTGCAAGCCCTCCGTGAAGATGAAATTGGAAGCACTAATAGTAGAACAATATCCACTGCTATAATTTCCAAATTAATAGAACTTGGAAATCCTTTTGTAACTGGCACTACTAATGTAGACAATACGGTGGCAGAACCTATGAATGAGTCCAATAGGTCTCTCTATCCTTGTAATAGTACTAGTTAAGTAATAAGATTTTCGTATTTCCATAAAAAAGAAAAAAAACAGTGTAACCTTTTGGACCATTGAGATATCATATCTTATCAAGAGTATCATTCACGTATAATTTAAAAATAATAGCACGCCTGTCAAACTTATATGCATAGTGGTTATTCTGATTTTTATGAACGAAATATTATTTGACTATCTCATCTAATCGATGATTGATTCAAACCATAATTTAATATTTGTAACAAGCACCTTTGGTAGAGTAGAGTGGTAGAAATGATATTCCTTTAGTTTCCATGGGATATACACGAAATTACCTCAGAGTCCCTTCGTCTCCTTGAGATACACAACAAATCTACATCCATTTTGACTTAGAAGTAAGATAATATCATACACAACAATGAGCTATGCACTCCATTCTTTTATATTTCAGCTCCTCAGTTTTCTCAACTTCAATAATTGGATTTAAACTTAAATGTAGTTAACACGATCAGAGCAATTCAGCTTTGTTGAAGCAAGTTGGCTGATAGAAACACATTCCAACCAAATCAATTGTTTACTCAATTGACCTCTCATATGCTTCTCCTAAGAATAAATTCCCAACATAAGAAATGGTTGTCCCAAAAAAAAATCAAAATAGAAGTTAAATTGCCAAAAGGTAACACAGAGGAAGCATTTGAAGCTCAGGCCAGGAATAGAATGAACAAAAGAAGAGAACGACAAGACTTTAGCATAGAAGAGCCAAAGATGCAAGCAGAAGAAGATTTGCTTGACAAAACAAAGCATAGATGAAATGACAAAATCGCAACGGTTGTAAATAATACAATCTTATATGCTAAGTGATTCTCACGTGCAAGTTGAAATCTCCAAAAATCAATATAAAGACATCATGAGTATGCTCTTAGCATGCATTTGGTAGCCAAATGTAAGAAGAGATGTTCTGCATACTGTATTTAACACAACACATTTTTAAGTTGACAGACTTGACAGTCTGTGAATGGAGACTAAAATATACTAATAGTAAATGCATATGCATATGAACAATAAAACCAGTGTAATCACACAAGTGGGACATGGGGAAGTTAGTGTGTACGCAGACCTTGGCCCTACCTAAGGAAGGATGCATATGCACATGAACAAAAGAAGAAATTTCAATGAAACAAAACCATGCTAACTTTATAGCCAGTCAAAAGAGCTTTAAAAATGCTTCATTAGACAACTGGTTGAGCCAATGCAAGTTCAAAAACCATTGTTTTCCAAGATGCTGATTGTTAAAATAGCTAGATGTAGAAGTTTCCATTAGGGGATAACAAAAACAAAAATGTACTCAAATTACTGAACAATCACTAGTAGAACATGTTCATAACACCAAGATTACATGTAACTATAACCAACATATCAAGAATGCTACTGAGCGAAACTCTATTACCAGCATCAGGCAAATTTTCTCAGAAAAATAGAATCACAACATATCAAACTGAAAGTCGCTCCTAATCAAAAAGACTGAATCCCATGTCGTCATCACTTTCTTCCTTAGGCTCTTCCTGTTCACATTCCAAATAAAAAATGAACATTAGCTCACGCACGTTGCACAGTCAAAAAACTCGTCACCATCTATACAAAATCAAAATTTCAATCAATCAATATTCAATATAACTAATACTCGTTTCTTTCTTTCTTACCTTCTTTTCCTCAGCAGCTGGAGCGGCTGCAGCAGCACCAGCAGCAGCTCCGCCAGCTGGTGCAGCAACAGCAACGGCAGCGCCACCGCCACCAGCACCGACATTCATAATAAGATCTCCGAGGTTTCTCTTCTCAGCAAGTTTAGCAAACAGCAATGGCCAGTAAGGCTCCACTATCACATTTGCTGCTTTTACTATAGAAGCAATTTTCTCTGCCTGTTACAATAACAATCAAAGCACAAATCAGTATAGTTAGCGTAAAAGATAATTACATGTAAATTTATGATACACACTAATTAATAATATATAAAAATGGTAATTGACATGCTATCACAAGTTAAATTCCAATATTTTTATACTATCAGTGTTTATAACTTAAATCTCATTAAAAATAGCAGTAAAAAAATTTAAATATAGGGAAGAGAAACATACGGTGATGGGAATGTCCTCATCGTTGAGGATTAAACAAGCGTAAGTACAAGCGATTTCTCCGATCGACATTTGATTAACGTTCCTGTTTTACAAACAAATTTTTTTGTTGTTGAGGAAATGGAGAAAATAATTGATGAAAATGGTTGCTGAGTGACTGTGGGAATTGGATTTTTACCTTCAAATCAAATGACGGCTGCTTCCACAATCCACAGATGCTGCTGAGTGCTAGGGTTTTGTGATTTAGAACATGTGAGATGTTATAAAGTTGACAGAATTTTGGGGGCCCGTTTACCTTAATGAAGCCCAGAAGATAATAGGTCCATTTGCCTTGAAAAGGAGGAAACTAAAAACCTCTTAGTTTGTTCTTTTTATTTTGAGAGATCTACGCGGCAGTGGCGGAGGCAGGATCTCCACGAAGGGGTTCAAAAAAAAATTTTGTAGCTAGTGGGAATTGAACTCATGACCTTATGTAGATTTTGAACCCCCTTGACCACTAAATTACACTTTTGGATTGTGTTAAGGGGGTTCAAAACTTAATATATAAAGGTAAAAAATAGATTTTGCCTTATATATACAGTGTAATTTTTCGGCGAATGGGGTTCGAGTGAACCCCCTTGCGCCCTCCTAAATCCGCCCCTGCTACGCGGTATGCCTTCTGAAATACTAGTTAACTTCATATACATTAATAATATTTATTTACCCTGTATATTTACTTTATTTTAAATAAATTAAATTTTTAATATTATTATATGCCATTATGGAGGGGATTTTAATGGCCATATCGGGGCTAATGCTAGGGGTTATGATAATGTGCATCGGGTTCGATTTTGGGATAGGAACAAGGAAGGTACATCATTATTGGATTTCGCTAGAGATTTTGACTTGGTAATAGCTAACTCGAGTTTTTCGGATAGGGAGGAGCATCTGGTCACATTTCGGAGTTCGATGACCAGGACCTAGATTGATTACCTTCTCTATACGAAATGCGATAAAGGTCTATGCGCTGATTGCAAGGTCATCCCAAGTGAGTACCTCACGATCCAACATAGGCTCATAGTTATGGACCTGAAAATCATGATGAGTAGGAAGAAGAGGGTGATGTGTAGGCAACCTAAGATCAAGTGGGGTAACTAAGGCAAGGCTCAGGATGAGAGAGATTTTTAGCTATGGGGTCATGGAGGAGTAGGGGGTGTAACAAGGATGTGACAGTGAATTGCATAAGGGAAGCTGTTAGAGAAATTTTATGGGTTACGAAGGTTTATTCTGGGGGTCACAAAGAAGACTAGTGGTGGAATAGATAGGTCTAAGATAAAGCGGAAGCCAAGAAAACGACTTATTTAAAGCTTGTGGAGAGTACAAATAAGGAGGGAAAAAGGACATGTCTGGAGTGTTATAAGAAGGCAAAGAAAGAGGCGACTTTAGCAGTTACGGGCCAAGATTACGGTGTTTGGATGTCTGTACGAGAAACTTGGAGGCAAAAGTGGGGACAAAAAACTATACCGGTTGGCCAAGGTGAAGGAGAGGAAGTCCAGAGACTTGGACCAAGTGAAGTGCATCAAAGACGAGACGGTAAAGTACTGATGGACAAGGCACATATTAGATGAAGATGGCAGACATACTTCTGTAAATTGTTGAACAGAGAGTGAACATAAACATCGTGTTGGGTGAGTTGGAACACTCCTAGAGTCGGCATGATTTTGGGTATTGTAAGCATATTAAGGTAGATGAGGTGGAAAGGGCGATGCGTAAGATGAGCAGGGGTAAAGCGATAGGATCGGACGAAATACCGGTGAAATTTTGGAAAAATGTGGGCCAAGTAAACTTGGATTGACTTACTGGGTTATTTTATGTTATTTTTAAGACAAAGAAGATGCCCGAAGAATGGGGGTGGAGTACGATGGTTCTATTGTACAAGAACAAGGGTGATATCCAATATTACAATAACTATAGGGGTATAAAGTTGTTGAGTTACACTATAAAGGTCTGGGAGAGGGTGATGAAAGTCAGGGTGAGGAGGAGCATGTCTATTTCAGAGAATTAGTTCGAATTCATGTCGGGGTGTTCGACGATGGAAACTATTTATTTGGTAAGGAGATTAGTGGAACAATATAGGAAAAGGAAGAACGACTTGCATATGGTGTTAATTGACCTTGAAAAAATGTATGATAAAATTTCGAGGGAGGTTCTGTGGATGTGTGTGGAGGTTAGCAGCGTTCCGATAGCATATACTAGGGTGATTAAGGATATGTATGATGCTGCTAAGACTCGGGTGAGGACTGTGGAAGGTAACTCGGATCATTTCCCAGTTGTGAAAGGGATACACCAGAGATCAACCCTTAGCCCATTTTTATTTGTCTTGGCAATGGACGTGATGGTGCAGCACATCTAAGGGGATGTGCTATGGTCCATGTTATTTACCGATGATATAGTGTTGATCGACGAGACACGAGGCGGGGTTAACACAAGGTTAGAGATTTGGAGACAGACTTGGAGTATAAAGGTTTCATCTATTTCGGTCATTTGACTTTGAACCCCATGTCCTTGAGCGTTGTGAGCACGTGATTTTTTCCCTATATGAATTACTCCCATAAATTCAAAACAAAATAACTTCTTTTCATTATTCGCAATTTTGAGGATTTTGTGGCATTTTCTCATAATTGTTTGCATTTGTCTGTGCATTTTTATTTTTGATTAATTAATGAAAAATACAAAAATACGCTGCATTTGCATTTAGGATCTAATTTTGCATTATTAAATTAATTAGTAATTTAGTTGTTTTATAAAAATGGAAATCACTTGGTGCTTTCTTGAGCTGAGGGTCTCCTCGAAACAGCCTCTCTGCCCCACGGGGTAGGGGTAAGGTCTGCATACATACTACCCTCCTCAGAACCCACTTGTGGGATTATACTGGGCTGTTGTTATATAAAAATGGAAAAAATCAAAAAATATAGTTTATTTTGCACTTTTAATTTTAATTTTTTGAATTTTGGTAGTTTTTCCTTGAATTTGGTTTTTAATTATTTGTGGTAATTATTATTTATAGTTAAATTAATGTAATAGGATAATTTGATTAGTGATTAATTTAGGATTATATTTAATTTTAATTTAAAAGAAACTAAAAGAAAATGAAAAAAAAAACAAATAAAAAGGAAATAGAGGCTGGTTTGGGTTGCAAACCCCAGGCCCAAACATTCCCCCCTAAAACCCGTTTGGCATGGCCCAAAACCCGTCCCCTAAACCGGTCCACCCCGTTCAGAGACCCAATGACGTCGTTTCCCCTCCCCGGATCCCAGTCGTTGATCCCCATNGCCACCTCCAACCCCTCCCAAATTAACACCCCATGAGCCCCACGACCCCCTCTTCCCAAATCCCAGTTCAGTTCCCTTCGAATCTTTCTGGAGTTTCTCGAATATTAGATCGAAGATGAGCATAAAAATCCCAAGTCAAGATTTTGTTGATATCTCGGATCTAATCTGATTTTATTCGTGTGCTTTTTGTAAGAGCACACGATTAACATCAGATTTGGCCGGAAAATCTGAGGATTTGAAGATTTGTCACAACCTTTTATTGTCCGAGGCTTTTAGGTATTTCCTTTTTTCTTTTATTATCTTTCTTCGATTTTCTATTTTTCTGCTTCCTCTCTTCTTCTTGATTATTTCTTTTTATTTTGCTTTAGATGTATGGGGTCATGCATGAGTAATTGTGAGCATTTTCTTAATTAGTATAGTCAGTTTGTAACTAGATTAGTGTAAATCTGTTAGTTTGGTTAATTTTGTTAAGTAAATCATTTAGGCTAAGTTCTTAATGGTTGAAACATTTCGGCATGTGTTATTTAGTTAATTAGATAATTTCTAGTTTGGGTCGAGTGGTTCTTTGATCCTGTGGGTTGGGTTTAGGTCAATTCCGACTCATTTTGGGTCTGGACTGTTGGGTCAAAGATGACCCATAACTCGTTTTGGTTTCAGAGGTTATTTTCAGGGGTTATAGGGGTAAGTTGGAAAAATTGGATAAGGGAATCTGTAGTAACTAAATAGGGAAGCTTCTAGGAAGCTGGGGTGGGGGCTAATTTGAAAATCTGATTTTTAGTCTAAGGTTTCCTGAGCAAAAATAAAAATGTAAAAAGGGTCTAATTGTAAAATCTGATTTTCTGTAAGCTACCCTACTTCCTTGCCTATAAAGACATGATTTTCTTGCCTTTCAAGGCAGACCCAAGGGATTAAGAGATAAAATTCTGAAAAAATCAAAAAACGGCGAGGAATTTCATAAAAAACACTACTCTATTGAATTTCTTTCTGTAATTCAGGAGGTTTTGAATTTCTGAAGCAATCTCTGATTCACATAGGGTTGAAGATGGTTTAATTTGGTATTTGAAAGCTGGTTTTGAGCTGAGTTTGTGTTTGGAGTCCTGTTCTAATTTAAGTCTGGGGGTTTCACAATTGGTTCGAATGTTGTTTGGTATTTCTTGCTTGCTAATTCTGGGCTGACTCTACTGCTGATGTTATTCACTTCTTATTCTCCTTGTTTCCTTCTTAACTTTCAGGTACATATTCCTGATTCTAGACTTGTAAGAAGGGTTCATATTTTTTTGAAGAAATGAAGATCTCCATACTGGCTAAATGTCTTCCTCTATTTTTTCTTTTTTCATTTGACTTGTTAATCCATGCCTTCTATTTTAGTATGTTTAAAATAATGTTATGCCATGAACACCTGAGACTTATTTTAAGACTTGTAATTAGGACTCTAATTTGTATTTGTTAGCTTTAGTTTGTTTTGAATCATTTCCCATGACTTAGATGGTTGCATCGTTGTAAGATTAACATGAAGTAGCTAATACCACTTTAAGGTTTTCTTTTGGGTAAAATGTGGTACTCATGGTGGTATGGGAATCCTGGGTATTCTTCAAATCTTCAGGCATATGAGCATGTTTTAAAATTCCATTAAGTGTTCTGATGAAAGATGAAATAGAATTTGGGTCTGCCTTGATGGCACTGTTAATAGGATGATTGGCTAATAAGGTTCTATGAGAGCTTTGTCTAGCATATTAGTTTCAGTAATGAGTAATGACGCTTCTGATGTTTCAAGTCTATGTAGTTTGAAAGTTATTGATCATGAGGTTCTATTCTTGTACTGAAAATGAAAGCATGTTCTTATTTCTTTTCATCATAAAGGCTTGTCGTATAGTGTAAAAGGCTAGGGGGTTAATATCATAAAAATGTTACTTGTCTTATCTTCAAATGTACGCTAAAATGCAAAGTTTTGAGGCTAGTGGGCTTAACCTGAAGCCCA